TTTCCGTAATTGGGAGACGTGAAACACCTTATGAAAAGCATCGAGCTTCGGTGGTAAGTCAAGTTTGTACGCCACTTTTCCAACTCGCTCAATAACCTTGTACGGTCCAACGAACCTTGGACTTAACTTCTTTCTTTTTGTAAATCGCCCCTTTCCTTTGTACGTGGTTGCCTTAAGATACACCAAGTCCCCGACTTCAAATTCTAACTCCTTCCGACGTTTATCCGCATAGCATTTCTGTCGGTCTTGTGCTTCTTTCAGCTTTATCTTTAAAAATTTCAACTTTGCATTCGTCTCGTCGATAATCTCCGGACCAAACAGAGTGCGTTCTCCGACTGGTGTCCAGCATAAAGGCGTCCTACACGCTCGGCCATACAATGCTTCGTAAGGCGACATTCCGATACTAGCTTGATAACTATTGTTGTACGCAAACTCAACCAACGTTAAGTACTTCTCCCAATTTCCGCCCCAATCCAAGACACATGCTCGCAACATGTCTTCAAGAGTCTGAATAGTTCTCTCGGACTGTCCATCAGTTTGTGGATGATATGCAGTACTCAAGTTCACCCTTGTTCCTAACGCCTTCTGGAATGCTTTCCAAAAATGCGAAGTGAAACGAGTATCCCGGTCGGAAACGATGCTAGCCGGAACTCCATGCAACCGTACTATCTCTTCGATATATCTTGCTGCAATTTCTTCGGCTCCGTCTGTTTCTGAGATCGCCATAAAGTGAGCAGATTTAGTTAGTCTATCCACAACTACCCAAACTGCATCATGTTTAGATTTCCCTTTGGGCAATCCGGTCACAAAATCCATCGTCACATGATCCCATTTCCACTCCGGCATTGGTAAGGTTTGCACCAACCCACTCGGCACTTGGTGCTCGGCTTTAACGAGTTGACATGTTCCACACTTAGCAACCCATTCAGCCACGTCCCTCTTCATTCCCTTACAGTGTTAGTACCTTTTCAAGTCACGATACATCTTTGTTGAGCCCGGATGAATCGAGAATTTGGATTGGTGAGCTTCCTTAAGAATTTCTTCTCTTAACTCCATATTTTTCGGAACGCACACCCGACCATTCACCACAATGGTCCCGTTGTTAGAAGTTTGAAACTCTGTCTTGTTATTCTCGGCCCACAATTTCAACTCTTCGTCATTTTCTTGAGCTAACCGAATTCTACTAAGTAAATCCGCTTGGTTGGCTGCACCCAAACCTAATGGTTCCAACTCCGTAGATAATGCATTCAAGTGCAAAGTTCCCATCATATTACACCTTTTGTTAAAGATTCTTCTTCTCCAGATTTCTATGGCACCCTCATGTAACCCAAAATTTTGCCACATTAACAAGTATCAATGATTCACTGATCCCAACTATTTTTTTTATTTTTCTATATACACAGCATCAACAAGAATCTCAAATTCAAGTTTTTGGAAGGGAACAAAATACTAAAGAGGAATTGAAGTCATGACACAATACATAATGTCAGAAGAATAAGCATGCAGAGAGACCAGAGTCTCTACTTCTGCCTCTTGTAGATCTTAGCCAAGAAGGATTTTAACACTGCTTGAATTGCTTTACTTTGGTGAGCTTCGATCAACTTTGTCAGCTTCTCATAGCTTTCCTTCTCATATTCCATGAATGCAGCCTATGACAAATCAAAGATCAAACGCAGATTATGTACATATTAGATCACATCTCTAATGCCTCTACTTTCATAACAAGATGATAAAGGTCTTTTTCTACTTCACTTGACTAACAAAAGGTCTAAATTAGTGCTAAGTGACAAACCTCGAGATCAAGCTCTTTGTAGAGAGCTTTGACCTTAGCAATGTTTGATGGCTCGCTTTTACCATAGTTTTCCTGAGACATTGAAAAGTTATTCAGTCAGATTAACATGCTGCTCCTGCTTCAATCTTATGCGCATTAGAAAGAAACTGATTCTCACATATAGTATCTTAGTTTGTTCTTCACTGCAGCGTTCCAATGCCTTAACCACCAACCAGGAGCATTTGAAATCCTCTATGTCTGTCCCTATCTGCGTTATACAACACATGCCCCGTGAGATAAGCACCAATATACAGTAAGATCAGCTTCGAAAACGCAATGTGGTGGCATAAATATTTACCTTGCCAAGTGTCTCGGGATCAGCATAACAGTCCAAATAATCATCCTATGGAAAAGAAAAGATATTAACTTGCTATTACTGCTCTTTTGGATCTTCAAATGAACCCATAATATGACTCTCATGTATTAGTTACTAATTACCTGTACTTGAAAGTAAATTCCCATGTCAACAAGAACATTCTTCACATCAGTATGGGTTTCCAAATTTTCTCCCGCCATAAACAATGCACAAGCAACCTGAGTACAGGAATGAATTTTTTAGTAGTCCTAAAATGCATCAATGGATATGCCTCCTAGCACTATTTAACAGATCATCCAACTACATAACAAAATGTGTCTAGCATAAGAAAGCATTTACTTGCTGCCTGAGAACTTATGCGTGACTCTAAAGAGAGACAGAGAGGGATTAAGAATCTATACTCACAGGAAGATAAAATGAGTAATAAGATGTTTTGTACTGGACAATACGCCTATGGCTGCACGTTTAAGAAAACTATATCATCAGTCAGGACGTGTTAATGCTATTCCACTGCATCAACCATTAAGAAGAGGTGAAATCTCTCACATTTGCAACGAGTACTTGGACAAGTCTTTTTCTCCATCAAAGGTAGTGATCAAATCAATCATCTGGCCAGAAGCTGTTTGAAACTCTACCTAGAAATGAATGATGTAAGAGAATAGAGTTGGATCAATTGTGAAATTGGAAAGTTAAACGCCAAAGAGATTTTTACCTCATTAAACAAATCAACGAGGTCAACATAGTAAGGCATTTCCCTGAAGTGCTTTCTGAGAATCCTGTGGATATGATTGCGAAGTAGAACCCCATC